AAGGGTCTACAGAGTGTTCAGGGTCTCACTACTAGATTGGACTCAGTGATTCTCCACAGCCTCCCAAGTGCTGGGATTACAGGCGTGCGCCACCATGCCCAGTCTTAATGGTGTCTCAGTGCACCCTGGGGCGGGGCCAGCAAGGGGGAAGGTCAAACTCCTGGCTCCAGTGCCTGCTTGCAGGTGCTTTAATCCGCTGAGCTATTTGGCTGGCCCTGTTTAAAAATTTTTAATTAATCTTGAGACAGTGTCTCCCTATGCAATTCAGGCTGGTCTTGATTTTACAGGAATCCTCCTGCCCTAGTCTCCTGAGTGCTAGGATTGCAGATGTGTACCATCAGGCCAGCTGGTGATTCATCTTTTGACTCCATATATTTTTGTTGTTGACATTACAATTTTTTGGCATAATTTTTTTTTTAACGTTAAGCTTAAGTGATTTGTGGGTTTTAGTTTTCCTTAAAAAGCAAAAAAAATCTGAGAACATTTTGACTCGTTATTAGGCATCTTGGTGTTTCCTCTGATTTAGTCAGCTTAGAAAGGAAAGCAAGTATCAGTGTCTTAACTTTGTCTTTGTGCATGTGTGCTGGGGTGGGGGCAGAAGAAGGGGGTTAGGGGTTGAGGGTTGGGGGGGTGCCTCTGGGGGGGACTTCAGGTGCTGAACACCAGCTCTGCTCTGAGCTACACCTGCAAGCCAGGCACTTATCACATCAGATCAGGGAATGCCTGATACTAACCTGACAACATGTGACTCTGATGATGAGCTGATTAATGATTAAAGTGATGCTTCTCTCCTGTAAAGTGACTTTTTTGGTACTGGTAATGGAACTCAGGACCTTGGCTTGCAGGCAAGCACTTGGGCCACAGAACTATATCCCTGGCCCAAGTGACTTTTTGTACTTGCTGTTATTTAAAAATGAGGCAAACCGTTATTGCAGGAACAGAGAATTAGGCTTCACCTCTTGCAGGGAGGAGTACCCAAGAGTTTGTGGGTTTATGTTAAAGTTATCAGTGTGTAATAAGTACTCATGGGCCAACATAGAGATCTGAGTTCTCTGAAGGCTTTTTTCTTTTATACCATGCATGGAGCTACAATTATTGTGATCTTTTTTTCTCTCTTTCCCCCCTGGTGCTGGGTATTGAACCCAGGACCTTCCATGTATTAGGGAAACACTCTGTCAATGACTTGAACCCTAACCCTTTTAATTTTTATTTATATATTTGTTTTTGTCTTTCTTGACACAGGGTCTCACTATGCAGTTCAGGTTGCCCTTGAATTTACTTCATAACTCATTGTGAACTCTTGAGGCAGGATCTTCCTGAATTGCCTTCTGGCTTTGAACTTGGAATCTTCCTGCCTCAGGCTCCTGAATGCTGGGAATACAGGTGTGGCTACCACACCACTACTTGTGTTCTTTTGGGGCTGTGCCCTTCCTACTGTGGGACTAGTGCTCTGCTGCTGAGATGTGCCTACACCAGCCCTCTGTTCTTTTGTTTCCCTTCCCCCCCC